ACTTCCTTCCAGTGTGGGAGTCTCCCCGTCTGCGTTCTCTGATGCCATGATCAAGGCACAGGGCGACGTGGTGTGATTTATAGACGTTAGTGGGACATGGAGGGAAAAGGAATCTAGTGTCCTGAGATCAATGATTATGGAGAAAATGTTTACTCAGGGGTCAAACCTTAAGTATTAAAACTGCATCTCTTCCCAAGGAGCCAGGCATGGGTACTTTCATATCTGAGAGATGGTCTTCTGTGGTGGAAAACCCTGGAATTTAGAGTCGCTTTGAGTTTCACCTTGCTAAGCAACTTTGCAAATGACTCTAACCTCCTCCGATCTTCCGCTTCCTTGTCTATAAATGGATGGGATAATCTTCACCTTTGAGACCTGAAGAACTTGGAATACTGCACACAAAGAGGTTGGCACATCACAAGCATGGGGTACACTACAGCTATTTTATTTACCAAGGAGACCAAGATATTTGGGAGAAGCAGGGGTGACATTCTTTACCTACTTATTTTATGAACACTCGCCAAAAAGCTCTTGAGGTAAATTTGACTTGAGGGCACATGGCTACATTTGTACCATCGTTACAATTGCACAAGCTCACCCAAGAGAACTAACGAGAGGATCAGTAAGCCGTCTTCATCACCACGGGTGATGGTGACCTTCTCCCTGCTATGGACTCAGACACTTGGTGTCACCCAACCAAATAAAAACAAGGAATATTCTTAAACTCACTGCGCCATGTCAGTACTTCCTGTGTGGAGGAAGCTGTTTAGAGACAAGGCAGACACAGTGAAGACTGTCAGGGAGACAGAGAGATAAAAGCCTTGCTTTGTTTCTCTGAGTAGCAGGTGAATAGTGGCTGAATTTCCTTAGGGGTAAGACCGATCCGCCTTAGACCATGCCCCTGTATTTTCCTTGGATCTAGGCTGTGCCTATAAAGATTCGGTAAAACACAAGGCTAAGATTCAATCTGCAATAACAACACTCTTAGGAAGGGTGACTCTTAAAGACAATCAGGAAATTGTCTGTGAGCATCTAAAGCCACTTAGGGAAGTTTACCAAGTCTGAGAAAAACATTGGGTATCTCTTCGTGACAAGTGGCATAAGGCTACTGAAGGGAAGGAACTCTTTCTGGCCTCTTCAGTCTGGTTCGTATGTGTAGGACCCAGCACAGGTTCGATGACGAGGATCCAGGAGAGGGAATAGCATGTGTGGCCTTAGCATTCAACAGTGGACATCCAGGTAGAGGCACAGTGCAGTCATACAGTGCTGGCCTAGCAGGTCAAGCCTGGCTTCCATTGCCAACAAGCACTGAAAGAGCAGGCGGCCACACTTGCCAGGCGACCTCAGAGCTCCTCCAAGCTTCTCGGACCTCCCTCCACACTCCTAAAACTCAACTCATGACCTTGTGCTTGATAACTAGTGATAAGGTTCGTTATCACATATCCTGACTTTAAACTACACACAGTTTTATGCAAACAACCAACACTAAGAATTTCTGGATAACATAGACTAGGTGCTGCCTCTGTGAACCAGTAAAGAGGAGTCAGAAAAGAAAACCAGACTCTTCCGAAGAATGTAAAAAGAAACGAGCTTGAGAACTTCTCAGGGGTAGTGGGGGAATAATTTAAAAGTACGGGGAGATAGACAGTAAGCCTAGCCAAACAGCACTGGTGTGGCGCCCTGACAGACAGCGTGCCGATGCAGGTAAGCCAGGCGGCCCTGGTGAGGAGAAACACAGGCCTGTCCTCAGGACAAGCGACAGTCCTCACAAGCCTGCTGTAAATTCCTCCAGGGGATGGGGGCTGAGGCAGCTGTGGAAAGGGATCCAGCACCACCATCCTTTGTGATCAGAGGGCAGTGGCTTGGCGCAATTCTTAAAGGAAACCTATTGTTTACAGTTGAGCCACACTGGAGACCTGAGGACCAGCAACAAGCAACAGGTAGGAGGCCTGCTGCTCCAGTCACAGGCATGAGACGCCCGAGGAGGGCAGCTGTGGGAGCAGGAAAGCTGGACGCTGAGAAGTCAAAGAGTACAGATAGACAGCAACAGGACAGGTTCAGAATTGAAAGCGGTGGTGGTGGTGGTGGTGGTGGTGGTGGTGTGGTGGTGGGTGATGTGGGTGGTGATGGTGGTGGTGGTAGTGGTGATGGCGGTGGTGGTGGTGGTGGTGGTGG